ATTCTGCATGTAATTTCAAGGTGTTCGCGGTGATCCGCGCCGCGGGTTACACGAACCTAACTCCACAACGGTAAGTTGGACCTCAGGTAAGTTGAAGTAGACGACGTCCTAACCACCATTTCTATTTTCAGGAATTTCAAGAAACCTGCAATTTTATAATCGGGGTTTTCCATAATACCTTAGACGATAATACAGATTAGGAAAATCTAAAGATATACATACAATAGAATAAAAATGCATATAGCAGTTATTAAAGTATATTCCACTGCGTATTGAAATCACCCACCCACAAAACCCTATAAACACCGTTTTCGTTGGACAACATGCTAGAAGTAGGGATTAATGAGGGGGACTACATAAGCTACTTTTGTTGATTTAACGAAAGTAAAAAAAGGGGAGGGAGCGGATACGCGGAGATGGTGATGTGGTGACGACGGTTCATACCTTAAGCACAGCCGTGGCCCTGGGAGTGCAGATGGAGGCCGGAATGGCCATACTGCTGGCGCCTTCGTTGAAGTTGGTCGTCGTCAACAGGACGACGACATCTCGTCGGGAGTGCACCGGACGGTTCTGTTGGAATCGTTCACCCTCGACGCCCGGGTCCGGGTTCGAAGAAGAAGCGGCGGCGGCCAGCGGTGAGATACTTCGGGGGGCCGTAGATTTGTTCACATCCGCTGCGTCTCGTGTGGGTCGACTGAGCGAGGTCGACGGTGGTGGCGGCGAAGACTTTACAGGAAGAAGAAGCGTATGTCGCATTGTTAGACACAGGCGTAGCTGTTAGCACCACATAAAAGAATGCAGTTGACCGGTAGTCGTGACTTGGGTCGATTTACCCGCCCTGCCTACTGTTCGTGCAGAATCCACCAATACGAAAGCAGTAAGCTGACCCTGCCCAGGCAGAATTTCCTGAGCAATCATCTAGAATCCACTAGATTTACTACTAGGCTCACTTAACTAGTAGGGGGGAGAAGGACTGGCCGATTTGCATAACTCAGCTGACGCAATTGGGAAAGATTTCGCGGCCTCTGGGGGGGTCAAACCCACACAGTAGGGAAAGCTTCAGTAAAGCCAACACTCTACCACTGAATTGCAAAGGCACGCTCAATTAGTACAGGACGTTTGACTCTGATCAGAGAGGTCGCGAGTTCGAGGCTCGGGTGTGACACCACCTGGGTCTGGGTATGACTAGCTGACGACGGCTAATAAGCCGGAAATGGCCATCCTAGTCTCCCTTGTCTATGTCGATAATGTCCGTCTGCATAAACATATATGCATCAGTAGCAGATACGCGTGCACCGATCTTTTAGAGGACCCACTTGTCCGTCCATGTTGCCATTAGAACTCTCCCTCGAGCCTCACTCGAATTGACCCAATTGTGAAAAAATCGTGGCCGGGAATTTTTCACAATTGCGTCAACTTAATTACTCAACTCTGCCCACAATCCCCCTAATAAATATGTGAGCCTAGTAGTCATTTCGGTGGATTCATGGTGATTGCTTGGAAAACCCTGCCTGGGCAGTCTGCTTACTGTTTCCGTATTGGTGGATTCCATACGAGCAGTGGGCTGGGCGAGTAAAGTGACCCAAGTGCGATTAAATTCAAAGCTCTTTGCATGCATTCGTAGCTCAGTGGTAGAGCGTTGGCTGCGCAAAAGCCTCCCCTGCTGTGTGGGTTCGAATCCCACTCGAAGTTTTTCAAAAATGGGTCAACGGAGGGCTGTTGTGGTGTACACC